TCTTTTTTTTTTTTTTTTTTTTTTTTTTTTTTTTTTTTTTTTGTCATTTATTAATAAGATTTGTGGTGGCCAAAGGCATAAGCATGTTTGATTTTGACAACCCAAAATGATGAGACTATCTACTTTAGTTTTGACAAACATCCAATGCCGTATAAGACATGCCAAATGTAACCGTGTTACCTTTCCTATCACCTTCTTGGTTGTCCTTTCCATGTCTTCCTGCTGCTGATGAAGACTTACGGACAGCATCTTTCCCCGACTGAGAACCAGAAGCAGAATCCATTCCACCTTCACGTTTCTGTCGCGCTTGCTCAGCCATAAGTTGCCATTTGGATAGCATGTCATCTCCTCCAACAGCAGCACGGGCAGCAACATTTGCTGCTGTTGTCCGCATTTTATCGTCCTCCTCTTTGTTTACCTAAACCAAAAGAAAATATATATATTAAAACAAAATAAAATCGCTAAAGAATTCCGAATCAATCGAAATGTCAAAGTAGTCTCAAGTAGCACTCTCAATACCTTAACTGATTTCATTCGACCTTCATCTTTGTCCTTGTCACCAGCAAGGTCTGAACCATCCTCAGGCTGCATGAAAAAGAATTTACAATAATGCGACTGTAAAAAAAAAAAAAAAAAAAAAAAAGATACGGGGAAGGGAAGAAAAATGAAACTTTTCACCCACTTGTGGAAATTATTAATGATGCAGTAATTATATTATGTTTCTTCATACCGCATCCCATAAATATTAGACAGACGAGTTTCGTTTCACAAAAACATAATCAATATTATTTATAGGAGAAAGATAGCCAATAAGAAGATAGAGAAGTCCTATTAAAAAATAAATATAGAGAATTACAAACCAATACCAAACAAGTAGAAGAAAAGCTTCCCAATGTACTACATTTTTCCTACTAATGTTATTTATACCAGCTTCTTCACTATTGAACAAAGTCCTGGTTATAGACCATAGGCAGGGAAAGGAAAAGAAATGCTCACATCATTAAGCTTACGGAGTTTTTCTTCTTCAGCCTGTTTCTTCTCCCATTCTTCTCTGGCCTTTTGGTTAACTAACATAATTTGTTGTCGAACATCTGAAGTAATATGTGTTCGGTGCCTTGGTTTCTCAGTGTCCACTCGCTGGAGAGATCAATCAAAAGTATGAACACACAATAATATACAGCTTCTGAGTTAATATAGTACAGTGTGAGAGATATCGAAGGAAACTAGAGTTAAAATGAAAGGAAATACACTGACCTGCTTTGACAGCCTGATTAGATTACTAATAATCCCACGTAATCTTTCCTCCACACTCTGAAGATACAGTTATTGTCTATAAGGCGGTTAATGCATCACCTAGAAAAATGATTAAAGTGACTAGCATCTTACCAATGAGAGACATTTCTCAACGTCATTGCTCATGCTCTTCAAACCATATTTAGCCACTGCCACATACAAACATGCCAATTAGTATAAGTCACTGAAGAATGATGTTTCTTCCATTCAGTTGCCGCAAATAACTTCACATAAACAGAACTTCAAACCAAATATTAATTAAAGAATTGGACACTAACTGATTTCCATCAGCTTTTTCTGCAATGGGGCTTTCTGCAATAGCAGCCTCTCTTCTTCTTCTTGTACAACCTTCCGTGATGCTTCAGAAGCTCGACTATCCTCCTTTGCACTAGAAAATAGTTGTTCTTCTTCTTCCTGGTCAAAACCATAATTTTTTCCTTCTGAGCATTTGTGTTGGTACCAACTAGAACTAACCAACCATTCATGAAATATGAGAATTGTACCCGAATATTAACTCCACTGACTGCAGTGACATCGTTAAGTTGTTCAATGCTTTGATCCGAAAAAGCCCCAGATACCTTTTGCTTCTTACTGTTGGGTACAAGTCAATTATATTTGAAAGGATTAAGAAGGTTGATTGTGAATAATGACCCATTTGTTTTTAAAGATTCCAAAATAAACTTCACTTCCAGGACTTAAGTCAAGTGAAAGCAGATTCACCTTGATAAGGGTGGTGAAGAGCCAAGTGCTTCAAGAGCCTTCTTTTGGCCCACGGCAGCTTTTTTTTGAGGTGCCCTATTTTGCATTCCAGGAGTAGTTGCAGATGGAACCTGAGAGCTTAACTGCAAATCCCAACACAAACAAACAAAAAAAAAAAAAAAATTAGTCCGCAAATAGATGATACATCATAAGAGCAAGCCAAGGGCATAAGATTGAGCGATGTACATTCTTCACAAAGATATCAAGACATGGCAGAGGTAGGTACATATTCAATAATTTAATACATAAATAAACTTACACAATTTGTTGCAACAGACTTGAGAAGATTAAGCAAGGAAATTGATGAACCAGGTGTAGAATAAACCATTTATCAATTATTTTTATTCAAAAAAAAAAAACCAATGCTCCTAAGTAATAACAAACAGAATGAGATATGAGGGCAGAAAGAAAGGCATAAAATTACTGCCTGACATAAAAAGTATGCAGTCAAACATTAGCATGCAATTTTAACTTTTACAAAACTAAAGGTAGGACAGCAACGAATACTCTACCAATACATACCACAGCACTAGACTCAGGTAGAGAACTTGCATCAGAAGAAATTGGATTTGCTGCGTTGGTTGATGATTGAGGCATAACATTGTTTGATGTAGGAAAAGTTACTTTAGAAGTTTGCTTTTCAAAAGGGTCCTTCGAAATTCCAGGGGTTGTGTTAACTTGTTCAGACTGCATGCTAGGAATAGAAGACAATCCCTGCAAATTTGAATGTTGGGTTTTGTTCTGCTCAGAAACCTGATCAGAAGGTTCTTGTTTAATGTAACTCATTGAAGATAAAGGGCCTGTGGTCTGCTCTTTACTTGTTGAAGACTTCCAGGGACTTGGCTGTGAAGTTAAGTTATTACGCAAGTGTGAAACATTTCCGCCCTGGACTCGCTTCGGATCATTTATAGTAACTTGCCTATCAAAATTGGAAGCCTGCTGGGAAATTTGCTTCACTTGACCCTCATGGGGTTGGGGTTTAAGAGATAACGAAGAGGTATTTATGTTTGACCCAGTATATGGGTGATAATTACCACTGTTTCCATACATGGGGAAAGATTTCTGTTGAAAGTGTAGCTGCTGCTTCTCAAGTCCTGGAACAGGAATTGAGGAGCGTTCCCTTTCCTGGATGGTGCCTGAACTGGATGAAGTCAATTGATTTGCATTACCATCCGTTCGCTGTTCTACTTCTCGTAGAGATTGCATATTCTTGTCCATGGCAGGATAGCCTGAACTACTCCGCCCTTGGGATGCTGAAGAGGGGATATATGATTGAACAGCAGGAGAATTCATGCCTTTCTGATGAAGTTGTGAAAATGGTCGTGGGTCAGAGAAATTTGGTGCACCAGGGCCCATAGATGGCATTCTTGGAGAAAGTTGCCTGACTGAAGGTGGAGGCTGTAAATGAAAAAGGTTAAGACTTGAACCTGAGGAAGGTAACCATAATTCACGAACAGACTGATTTAAAGTAATCAATAAAAACATAATAAAATTTCATGACAATCTCCATTACAAGAAATCAATTAACTGCTGACCTGTGCTTGTACTTGACAAACTGCTAATCTGAGCATCTGATCACCCACAACACCCCTCATGAGCCGTATAAAATCATCTTTGTTCATTTCATTCCTCTACAATACAAGCTCAAATTATATGAGACAACCTATTTAATCATGAACCATCCAACCACTTCTTTAACGTATTACGTCAAAATTTAATATGATTGAAGAGAGAAAGACACTGAGTATATTCTAAGGTACTTACCATAGACATATATTGAACTATTCATTTTCTATATCAGAGAATTGATTTAAACCATGCATTTTATGAAGGAATATGAAATGCCAAAAATCAATGTGGTAAACAACCCTGTTACTTATCTGGTTAGTCCTTTACTTAGGGTGGATTCATTACATCTAACCTCAATTTCACATATACTGTACAGTTATAGGCAATAACAGAAAGTGCTTCTATTCATGTACTTACCTTCAATCTGTTAAATAAAGTCTGAAGCTGCATGGCTCTGTCTTTATCAAGCTGAGGCATCAATACAGGCATCAACGAGGCAAAAGGTACCTGTTTACTACGATTTAATGGGTTATTTGCCTGTTCTGAGACCATTGTCTGCTGATTACTCATCTTTTGTAACTTCAGGTATTGAGATTCATTATCCCGATTCTGCATTCTGTTGGAATCATTCACAAGGATTGGAGCTTTTTCAGAACCTTGCAGCCCTGGTGTTTGAGAAAACTGAGCAGAAACTTGCTCTGCATCCCCTTGTTCACAATCAGATTGGGGTTGATTCTTTGAAGCTTGAAGGGGAGCAGCATTATGTTGCTGCTGATTTTCAGGTAATGATGAACATCGCTCTAGTTCCATCAGAGATGAATGTTGTTCTTGCTTCGGACGAAAATTTTGATCTTGTTGTGCATGAGATTCAGTCTTTTCATTTTGACTAGCTTGTAACGGGAGGCTAGATGGACCATTGCTCCCTCGAGGGAAAGCTGTATTTTTAGACACAAACATCAAATCAACTATTCCATATTTCAATCCAAACATCCATGAGCCACTACACAAAAACTTTTATGCTTGCTTTTGAACACATTTTTTTCTACATAGTTACAGAAAATTTTCATCGTTTGCAAGGGGACAAAAATGCAGTTTGAATAAGATATGACCCTTCGTTTCAAGATCAAATAATTTGAAAAGCCAGAAGAAAAGCTCATGATAAGGTGTTTGGAAATGAATTATGGGAACCTGCAATTCCAACATTTCAAAATCGGTGTTACTCTGTGATATCATCACAAGAGATTCAAGAAAAAGATGGCGGCGAAGTTATGACAATGAAGCAAGAACAAAGAATACAAAAAGGTAAAAATATCTTCACGCCAAAACTATAAATATATTTAGTTGCCACAAAAACAATACTAAAGTGGGCATTTTCAAGTTGATTCAACATCCAACTCATTTTAACTGGTGAAATAGCAATTTGTTCACTTAAATTAATACACTACAGGAAAGGCTACGTGTATGTAACAAGAAACAAATTGATATCCAGGTAAAATAGATTTAAAGCCTGCAAACCATTAAAAACACAGAAAAATGCTTTTATAGAAAATATGCTTCTGTAGCAACACATTTCAATATGATCTCTACAAATTTCAACCACTCCCCGAAAAATCAGACCATACTCAATACAAAATTATGTAACACAAGATCTATGACTAAAACTTAAAACTTCTAAGTTTAGGATGAATTATACCTGCATCTGACGCAGGAGCCTTGGAAACAGCCGGAACATCACCTTCTATGTCTCTATTCAAGGCAGCCTGAAAAGCCTCCACAGCTGCACCCGAATGCATCGTTTCATCCTGTCCACAATTGAACATCCAACACAGCAAAAATTTACAAATGATATCCCCTCAGTCCTAGGATAAACGTTTGCACACAAGCACTAAAAGAGACAAAAACCTCGTCATCCTCCAGAAGCTTCATAATAGAGGGGTCCATAACAAGCTATGTGTTCAATCAACCTCGGTCACCTTACCTTGCTAACAGCTAATCCAACGATACAACTTCTAAAAATTGCTAGAAGATAACGAGTTGAAAAGTACCTTACACAACAAAAAAGTCCACTTTCACTGAAGAAGAAAGACAAAATTAAACAATTATGATGGTAATGAACACGAAACCTAGCTATTTCTATTCATCCTATCGCAAATAGATAGAAAATAAAATGAGCTAGCTTGATCCAGTCTATACGATTAAAATTGAACATAAACATAATACAAGTTTAGATACATCGATTTCCTACCATCCGAAGAAGAGTGCTGAATTCAATCCCGCGATGCCCAAAAGAAGAAAATCGCTAGAATCTTAGTAGGGAAACATCAGGAACTGTGAGGAGGATTGAACCAAACGAAACAGACAAACATGGAATCATGATTGCAACAATCCTAACCCGAAAAATCTTGAAAAGAACAGAACGCATTCAATCATGAACAAACCTTGACGGGAAGGAGCGACGGAGAGAAGCTGGGAGAGACTAGAGAAGTAGACAGAGATTTATTCTTTCTGTTTCTTACGCTTTTTTTCTTTTCTTCCTTTTTTTCTTTTCTGAATGGGCTGGGCCCAAAGTCTATCTTAGGGTTTGGGCCGTTTCGTTGGGCCTTGGTCCAAGTCTAAGATATTTAAGAAAATTAATTATTTTTTAGGTAATAGATGACTAAATCTAATTTTTTTTTTTTTAAATCGATAAATTTTCTCAATATTTTAATGGACAAAAATACCCCTCACATACAAAATTGAATAATTACAAGATTTAAGGAATAAAACATACCATCGTCTATTTTGTTTTGTTTTGGCCCGTTATGCGTCATCCTCACAATTTTTGCGTAAGATAAATTCAAGTAAAAAATTATGTCACATTAAACAAGAATCAGAAATAACTACTAATTATGATGATAAAATATGAAAGTTACAACGTATCAGCAAAGGTCAAAAGGGTTTTCTTTTGAGCCTATTACATATCTGAATCATTAAAATTTGACTGGATCGATTTTGTTTATAGAGTAATTTGAATCTCAAATAATTGTTCTTGTCTTGAAATATTCGATCAACAAAGTAGATTGGATGAGGTGGAGAATCCCAACGGAAAAATAAATTTCCCCCATTAGTTGAACCGGATCAAAGTTGGGAACCGAGAACATAGGTTATATTTGCCATGTTGTTTCTGCTCCAATTTCTCCACACTCCCGCCCCACTTAAATAAATGGGTATTGAAATAGGAGCTGAGATGGAGAAAGTGTCCCATCTCTCGACCGATAGACATCTCTACAATCAAATATTTATTTTCTTAGTTATGAAAAAATATAACGAACAAACGAGATAAACTCGACAACTTTCATTAAAACATGTCTCAAAATCATAAAAATTATAATATTATTATTCACTCCGTTATAAAAAGAAATAAAAATAAAACATTATAATCATGTGTTTTATTCCATAAAGTGGCTGCCTTCATTTATTTAATTCCAAAAATGTCATCAAAATTAAATTATAATTATTATTGGATCAACTGACAAATTTTGTCCATAAAATATATTATTTTATTCTTCCCTAATCCATATTAATAGAGTGGATATATATTTTTTTATAATTTTTTATATTAATGTCGGGAACATGTCCCATACATTAAATTTATTGTATTATTTTTTTTACTATTAGATTGAATTGTGAAATGAAAATTTCAAATTTTAAATCATAGTTTAATATATTATTATGTTTTAATTAAATATAGATATAAATTTTATGCCTTGATTTTGTGTTTAGTGGAATAATGAATTTTTAAAATTAAAAAATTTGAGACAAAATTTGTAATTTTAAAAAATTGGATATATAGTAATTATTTACACACGACCTATATTCTTGTACTAGACTCCAAGCGGACTTGTATACAAACCTTTTAGACTTGGCCTTCAACTAGCGTATATTCACACTGTCGATATATCACGAAAGGAAGAGAACGTGCATAATATCATAGTTTACATAATACTGTATTATAACATCGTAGTGTATGCGTCCATACTAATCATAACAGGAATGAAAGTTTGAGTCTTATTGTCTCGCATATTGTTGAACTAGACAATAACGTCTCTAAAAAAAATATATAATTCTCTTGAGATTTAGTTTATCTATTTATGAAGAAGTTATGGTCTCATCTATATTTTATTTTAACTATCTCGAGATCACTTCTAGTTATTGAAAAAAAGGTGATGGGAGTGGGAATGCCTATAAAAGAAATTCGATAGACTCAAAAAAACTCGAACAACTCAACCTAATCCGTACGATATTGAGTTGGGTTGGGTTCAAATAAATGAAAATTTTATTGATTGAGTTGGTTCATGGGTTCTGCAAATTGTATCATAAGCGAAAATATATTTTTTAAAATTACCCATAAATTCGAGTGGGTTCGATTCAATAAGTTCATAACTTATCCCAGTTTTTTTCTCTAAAAATACTATCAATTCTATATTCGTATATATATTTTATAACAACCAAACGAATTAGAGAGTTAAAATTACAAATAACTTGGTCGATGCTACTTCCCATAAGTGCAAGGGCACTAAGGGGGTTTTTGCAGTGAAACGTAACAAAATATTACGGTCACGTAATAAAAGGGTCAAGAAAGAATTTGAGCTCGATGAGCCTGAACCCCGAACCATCTTGACCGCACTAAGTTCGGAAAAAAATCCAAAGGTCTTGAATTGCCACCGACCAGCCATTTTCTTTAACCATAAATATTTTATGTATTTTTATTACCATTTCTATAATATTTGACCTTTATTATGCTTTATTCATAGTCTTATAAGAATGGGTTAGTGCCCCATTAAAAAAAGTTAGAACCAATTTGTATTATAAAAGCACTAGTGGGATTTCCTTTTATGATTATATAAGACCATAAAAATGATATTTCCATGCTTTTTGCATATAGGAAGCAAGGTATTCAACCATATTATATAAATTTATTATAAAGTTCATAATGTATAATAAAACCATATATTATTATTTTAAACATTATTCTAAAATTATTCTAATTAATGCCCTATAAAGGCTTCAACTTTCCATTATTTTTCTACCCATTATTCTAATAGGTAAAAGTAGGGTTGATTAAATACCAAAATAATTAACTCCTCAAAAGCAAGTTTTCGTATTTATTCATATTTATATCATAAATTAATATTTTTCTTGGGATGCATATGAGTAAGGACAAAACATGTTGGAAGAGCTCGTGTACTCTTTAGAAGTAAGAAGTAGGTAATCTGACAAGTTGTAATAGTCCAAGTTCATCACTAGCAGATATTGTTCTTTTTTAACTTTTCCTTTGGGGCTTACCGTCAAGGTTCACCCTTAGATTGCTTTGTTCCCCTTGTTGAGATATAATATCGGGAGAATATATTATAATATATTAGTTATAGAATATATCTTAGATATTCGTAATCAGTTAATATTTTCCGTATATTTTATTTTATTTTCAATATTTAATTAGTTTATATTTTTTTTCTTATTTGTAGGTATTAGTTGGTAGGACTACAGGGGCTCCAGGCTCACCTTCAAAGGATTTGTTCCGCGTGTTGAAATATAATATTTGGAGAATATATTATAATATATTCGGTTAATATTCTTTTATAATTTGATTAATAGTATATTCTATTTTATTATTAATATTTAATTAGTTTATATTTTCCATATTTTTTTTATTGGGAGGTGTTAGTGAATAACTTGTATCCTATTTAAGCATTATGAATATGAATGAGAATACACACATTCGAACCCAATTCTATTTCTCATTCTTAACACCCTTACCACCAATGTAGGATCTCACAATCCACCCTCCTTGGGGGCCAGCGTCCTCGCTAGCACACCGCTTAGTATCTGACTCTAAAATCATTTGTAACAGCCTAAGTTCACCACGTAGCCGATATGGTTCTTTTTAGGCTTTTTCTTCTTGGCTTCCCCTCAAGGTTTTAAAACACGTATGTTAGGAGAGGTTTTCACACATTTATAAGGAATTGTTTGTTCCCCTCTCCAACTGATGTGGGATCTCACGCACGTAGAGATGTCCATTTTACCTGCAAGGTCGGGACCCTGCGAAAACTCGTCTTGAACAGGGAGGGGATTCCCATTTAGACGAAGAATGAAGATGGGAGTGAGAAATATTTTTTTCTTTTAGATAAATGACGTCGGGGATGAGATTATATTCCCCGTCCTTGTTCTCGCCTACTTTCCCGCCCCGCTATATATATATATATATATATTGAACACTTCACAAGGGGTTGTCTTTTGGCTTTTGGGAGGAAATGGGGCCTTACAAATGGCAAGGCTTCAAAAGCTTGGAAAGAAAAAGATAAGGCAAAGGTAGTTTGTCCGACTCATTATGATATGGATTGAACTTACACCGCAAGTACCGAACCTCTCAAAAGAACTATAAAAATTATGAATCAAAGGCCCCAACTCCTTGAATATCACCATTTGAAATTTAAAATTTATATGTTCACACTATTATCATCGTGTAATTTCTCTTTCATATATTTAACCGTATATCAATGTCTATTTTAAAGCGTGTTTGTCATATACTTAACGGTGCAGCAATACCCATTTTAGTGAGGCTCGGATGATGTCACTCTCTCTTCATCTCTAACTCAAAGTTGAATATGAAAACGAGTGATATAATTTAAACTCAAGCTCATTAGATCCAACGAACAAAATGACGGTTTCTTTGTCCCAATTGCTCATTCAAGAAAAATGGTGGGTTTTGTTTCTTCCTCTCGAATGGTCACTCCTCCATCTTTCGAGGCTCACAACTTTTTTGTTCGACATTTGAGGATTCTATTGACATGACTAAATTAAGGGCACGACTCTGATACCATATTAGGAATTACTGATCTCCACAATGATATAATATTGTCACTTTGAGTATTTCTTGTGGCTTTGCTTTCGCTTCCCCAAAAGGCTTGAAATCAATGCAGAAAGTATTTCTTACTTATAAACCCATAATCTTTTATTAAATTAGCCAAGGTAGGACTCTCTCCCAACAATCCTCAACATACCATACCATTACAATGAAATAGTTTTTTTTTATCGAGCACCTTAAACATTTTTGTAAGATCGAATGAATCTAAGATTTTCTTCTTACTCGTAAAGCATGAAATGCATCAGTTCATACGTTAACAAATGATGTTCGGTGAACAAAAGATTCAACAGTTTAGTCATAAATCTATCCCACATAAGGCAATCACATCTTCACCATAGACCTGCAATGTTTGGATGTTTTGTTCGTCCCTTGATTTCTTTTTTGTGAGATCTCATATCGATTTGAGAGGGGAACGAAACATTTCTTATAACAATGCAGAAACCTCTTCCTAGTAGATGCGTTCTAAAACTGTGAGGTCGATGACAATACGTTACAGGTCAAAGCAGACAATATGATATCATCGAGCAATACATTAATAAGGACGCTGGGCCCTTAAGGGGGTGGATTGTGAGATCTCATATCGATTGGAAAGTACAACGAAATATTCCTTATAAGGATGTGG